TTCAACCCATTTAAAAAACCTAAATTCTTTAAGAGATACCACATTACCTCAGATTTTGCAGATAAAGCATCGCCTAGCTGCTTCGCTTGGTCAGGCGGAAATATATGGTCATGCTCAACTGCTAATATTGCAGTTGGAACTTTTACCTCTGAAAAATACAACCTTATTTATCAGCTCTAAAAGTCATCGAAGATATAACTACAGAGGAGAATTGAGAAATCTATAAATTTACCATTTATCTCATCAACTGTAATAGGACCAGGATGCAAGATAACTGCAGCCCCAATACTATTCTCATGTTTTGCCAATTTAGAAACTACCATTCCTGAAGCACAATAAGGAGTCCATGAATCTCCCTTTCTATTAAAATAAAGCTAAAGATATGTAAAAACAGGAAATGTACTATAGATAGAAAGACACATTTGTCTCACCTCCCCAGCAAAAGCCTACTGCTCATAGAATTTGTGTTCATATCTCATCGTTGCATTAAATTTTTAAGCATTATGTTTATAAACTTTGGTTGGTATGTTTTACCTAGGTAGAATCTCTGCCAACATACTTTGCTTGATGTATTAGGTCCTGAGGTAGAATAGGTTCATTGCGCCAAAATCTACAGAAGTGAACTTCCACTAATATAAATAGTTTTGTGTTGTAGTTTAATATCTAATTTGACATTGTATATAGAAAGATTCTTGTAAGCATGAGATTATTTTGTTAGTGACTATTGGCTAGTCTATTATAGTTAAGCAATTCATAACAATTTTGAGGAGAAGTAGTTTAACTTACTATACCTGTTAACATGCATTTTCCTAGTTGAAGTTTATGAAGTTAGGTGTTGAATTATTCAATTCTAACTCTTCGTGTATTTTTTTTACTTCTCTTTTGTGGATTATAAGGTATTGGGACATCCGCCACCGTGCAAAATGAGGACCTTGAGGAGATGCGTCGAACGATTCAACAACTTTCTAGGAACTGTGCGGAGAACGAGAAAAAAGAAAGCATGAAGAGAAGATTAGAGACGCACTTAGGAATGACATCGACTCCCTCAAGGCTCAAGTGAACCACTTAATCGGCTTGCGCCGCTCTCCGCCAAAAAGCCACATTTATGAAGAGGATGAAAGTGATGGAAATAATACAAATGATGAAGAAGATGAGGGACAATCCGAAGATGAGTGATTTTATGTTTGGTTGGATTGTTGTTTAGTTGGATGTTAACTTTGAATGTTACATTTTGATGTTTGGTTGGATAGTTTTGATGTTTGATGGGATAATTTGGATATTTGGATGTTTGGATATAGTTTATAAAGTTTTTTTGTTGTTAAGTTGAGTTTTATTGTGGTTGCATTTTAGTTTGTATTGTAATATTCTGCTGGCAGGTGGTGCAACAAAAAATAGGTACTGCATGCCAAAAATGTACCAGATTTACCGAGGGACCTACCGACAGAGTCCGTCGGAACAATTATTCATTTTCAATCCAGAATTCTTAATTAGCGAGGGAGTCCGTCAGTATACTTGAACCAAATTTTCAGATTTTGTTGAAAATACCGACGGATAGCCATCGGAATATGAATTTATTCATATTTTTAATTTTTATATTACTAAATTAAAATTCTAAAACTTACCGATGGTGTCTGTCGGTATTATTAAATTATTATTTTCAATTTACCGACGGATATCCGTCGGTATTAATATTATTAATATTATATTATTTTATAATATACCGACGGATATCCGTCGGTAAGTAAAATTATTTGACGGATTTACCTACCAACCACTTACCGACGGACTTCTGTCGGTAAAGCCTTGTTACCGACGGACATCCATCGGTAACTTGCGTCGGTAAACAGGTGATTTTTAGTAGTGATATATATAACTCTCTGTGTGTGTTTGTTATTACTGTTACGTATCAAGGTTTCCTCCCAAGGCATAGGTTACTCAAATCAATATGCAATACAATCATACAAGTATATCAAGTCATAGTGATGTCTGATATCATACATCATGACCAAGCTTTGTAAAGTTCATACTCACGACTAATTAATTGCAAAAGTTCTTCAAGGAGAAAAACAAGAAGCCAAACTTAAAAAGTTAAATTACATAGTATGATCTATGCTAGAAGAGAAAGCAGTCTAGGTGCGTTCCTACATATAGTTATACAACATCCAAAAGACCCGTGAAAACATTTGCCAAAGCATAAGAGAATGACGACGATCTTTCTGTTCTTTTTTGCATTCATGGTTGCATATGATTTGCCAATTGTAGAAGTCTAAGAAAAAAATGAAAACTTTGCCAAAGCTTATGAGGGATGAGGATTAGCACAGGGAATAGCTCGTGAAGCAGTAATGTGTTCTGTATGATCCCTAAGAGAACTGCTGGCAATTAATTTAGCACACAATTGACAGCAAAAAAATTTGCTTTCATTGAGAGTCGAACTCAAGACCTCCCGCTTACTAAACGGGTGCTCTAACCAACTGAGCTATGAAAGCTTTGTTGTATAGCTTCAGTGCAGCTAAATATTTAGCAATCTCAGTAATTTTGTCAATTCTTATGGTGTAATTAAGCCCCTTTATACTTTCTTTCTATCACTTTTTTTTAGCTATAACATACTTTGTTCTCAAGGAAAATGGAAATTTTGTAGTAACTGTTAATTTCATCTTCACTCAACATTGAAATTTATGTATTATGAACCTTTAAAATAAAAAAATCATTCAAAGAAATTTATTTATTACAGTTGAACATGACATATGCTTAGAGCACAACGAATTGGAACAGAGATGGTAAATTTGTATTTACAACAGCATACAAATTAAAAAATAAATTCCGTAAAACTTTAATACAACTTTGATACATCTACAACATCATATAAACTAAAAAAAAATTTATACAACTAATTATATATATACAACTTATTTATAACTTATCAACAACTTTCATACATACTTAAAATAAAATTCATACAACTAAATATACAGGATACACTTATCTACAAATTTCATACATTATTTCTACCTAGTTATATACAACTACAATATCATATAACTTAAATACTATTTTTATACAATATGTCTTTTGTATATTTTATATTTGATTTATACATAGTAAAAACAAATTTCATACAACTAATTATATATTATACAAGTTAATATACAACTTGTCTACAACTTTCGTACATTATCTCTACCCAGTTACATACAACTACAATATCTTACAACTTAAATACAATTTTTATACAATATTGTTCAACTTTCATAAAATATTTAAATAAATAAAAACATATATAAACACCAGAATACAGTTTTTTTACAATTTTACTACAAATTTACTACAAATTCGTAAGTACAATGTATGTCATGTCTTCTTCTTCGTCCTCTTCGAGTTTCAAACTGAAATTCAGCCAAAATCAAGTCTAATTTTCATCAAAACACCCTCAAAATTGAGATATTAACTCCAAACAATATTCCCAATTATTTGCAACAACACCCAATCAAAAAAAATAATGATTTTGAAAACCCAAATTCGAATTCAAAGCTTCAAAGTTTTTTAATGGCCGTCAATGGTGGAATTGTTGCTCTCTTTTCTTTTGCTTTACATTACCGAAATTAGGGATTGAGAGATAGAGAGACGTAGAGAGAATTCCCAATTGTTTGCAACAATACCCAATTCAAACAAATAATGTTTTTTAAAAACCCAAATTCGAATTCAAAGCTTCAAAGCTTTTTAATGGTTGTCAATGGTGAAATTGCTGCCCTCTTTTCCTTTGCTCTACATTACTGGAATTAGGGATTGAGAGATAGAGATAGAGAGCGCAGGAGAGAGAGAGCTAGAGAGACGGAGAGAGAGCATGAGGGAGAGAGAATAAGGATGGGAAATAATTGATTCCTAATATAAGGGATACTCATTTAATTCCTAAAGTGTACATAATTGGTAATTTTGTATATAGGATGTAATTAAATTAAAACTTGAGTAGGGAGGGTAATAAAGTTTCTAATAGTGTATAAGTATGTAAAAATCCCTTCTGTGAAAGTCGCTCAAACCATTAGACAACCCAAAGAGCAAAAATATAAAATAATAAAAATGGAAAGGGAAAAAAGTGGAAGAGACCGTCTAGAAAATGAACGCATATACAATCCTTGATATATAACACAATTGGCCGCTCGGCCAAAAATATTTACACTCTCTAGACGGTATACATAAATTTATCTATCTCTTTTATATCTATATCTACACTCTATTAAAAGTATGAAATCCCTTAACGAAATATCGTTTTTAAAAATAAGTTTCACATTGAACAATTATGTAATTTAAATTATTTTCTAATATTTAAGACCTAAAATTAAGTAAAATTTTAATTATTGCCTAATATTGAAGAGTTCAAAATCAGCTAAATAAGGATAAAAAATATTTGAAAACATAAAGGAGAATACGAAGAAGTAAAAGGTAAGTTTTTTTTTTTCACATAAGGAAACTCCACGACAAAGTATTGTGTAATTTTTGTGTTCTTTATCCTTGTAGTTTATCGTGCAAAATCAATTTTGCTTCTTTATTTCCTTTTCATATGAAACTATTTGCTTGGTTGTTTTATAACCGTTTCATGTGTTAACTTTTTAAATATTTACTTATTTAAAACATTAAAATCACCTAATATTTAGAACCATATCCAAAAATATTTAAAAAATTTAAAATAAATTAAGATTTTAACTACCTTAAGTAGAGGTTGCATTTATTTTGATATAAATTGTTATTTTCCAATAATTTATTCTTCTTGTATATAAGTATATTCATTAATTGATGTAGTACACACATTCATGAAATACAATAAAACTAGTTATATATTAATTATATATAATATATATTATACATTTATCGGCTATTTTTTTGGACGATAATTTAGGGTTATTTTGAAACTTTCAAAAATTTCCGTGATGCCGTTGCACTAGGCTAAATGTACTACCAACTAAAAGACATTTGGGCTTTTTCAAAGTCAAAGCCCACACCTCTGTGTCTAGCAAACACAAACTCCACAAAAATCACAGTGCTGGAAAATTAAGCAAGTACTTGTTGACAGGTTAGCTAGTTTGCCGCTATTATTTGAAGGGTGTTCAACTCAGTAGCCTCTGTGAGTTTCTTTAGAGAACTGAAAAGGTCAAATTTTCAAGCTAAATACTTCTCTACTGTTCTTGATATTTGTTCTTTATTCAATTCATTGCACTTTATTTTATCAGAAAATGGTACACGCTGTACTGTAGACTGTTATGGAGAAACCCTTCAAATTTGTTAGCTATAGAGATGGGATAACTTTTCCTCTGTATGATTATTTGGGTGCTCAAGCTTTAGTTTTTACTTCATGGGTTTTGGGTTATTACCAAAAAAATCTTCTTTCAACCTGATATTTAAGGCTTTAAACGAATTGGGTTTATTTGAAAGGCAGATTTTTTATTTAAAAGAAAGAAGCTTTTGCAGAAAGTATATTGGTGCTTCTTCAGTAGTATTAATTGAAGATTCTGATTCTTGTTCAAATGGTGAAAGTGAAAGCAGTATGGAAAATAAAGCAGTAGTTGTTCCACTAAGAAAAATATATAGCATCAAGGTGAACATAGATAAAGCTATAGAATTTTACTCTATATTTGAGCCTTCTTTATGATCCTCATCAGCATTTAACATTTGTGCAGACGGCAGGTATGGCGGAGTGCCATCCAACATATAGACCCAGTTTGTAAGCAATTCTTTTTCCCAGACAGTGGCAATATTTGACACAGTTTTCAGTTCCTTGGTCATCATTTAATAGCTGCTGCATTGGCAAGCAATTCGTTTTCCTGGACACTTTCCACAAATTTTGACTTTGTTAAAGCCTGTTTAGTATTCCATTCTAAGTATGCACTTGGCATATTGGTAGGGAAATGTCAAATTAGCTTGGATCATCCCTGCAACCCGAAGCTTGATATTGAAACTTGAAACCTATCTATTTCTCAAGATCTGAAAGTTAATCAAAGTGGTGAGGAAATCTAGTGAATTATGAATGGACTTTGGTTCATTATCTGTTTTGCATTCCACAGTTGCTGCCTCAATTTTACTTAACTACTCCCTCCTTTTCAATTTAGATGAGGTAGTTTGACTCGGCACGTAGTTTAAGGGAAAAAAGAAGGACTTTTGAAAAAGCTTAAGGGGTAAAAGCTTAAGGGGACATGACATTTATGCGGTTATAAAAGCATCTCATTAACGGTAAAATAGGTAAAATGAAGAGTTTAAAGTTGAATTATTACTAATTGTAGAAATGTGTCATTCTTTTTGGAACAGATAATAAGGAAAGTGCGTCATCTAAATTGAAACAGAGGGAGTAATACTTTCATGATGGTAGGCTTGATGATTTTGAAGGTCATAGCTTATACCGACTTGGAAAAGAGGCGTGGATCCTGTTGACCTGACCTGTTACTGCTGAGGATTGATATGAAGGGTTGTAAATGGAGATCTTCTCAATCAACAAAGTTTCAGCCAGACTTATCTTCCACTGGTGAGTATATATGGCTGAGCTACTGTAATGTATTTGTTAAGCTGGACTGAAAATGCTGTAATGGAACTTTGATTTAAAGAATTGTTTCTGGACTTGGTACTGACATTCTACTCAATATTAGCTACATTTCTAGTGCAGAACTCCAAGATGAATTCTTCGGATTCATACTACAGGTGGTGTCAATCATAACATATGAACACCTAAAAAACACTTTTTAATTGGGGAATCAATTAAGTCTCTGATTGGTTCTACAATGTGTTGTTGTTGCAGGGGAAGAAAAACTTTGGTTTTATCATGTTTGTAGCCATATGTGGCATTACGCAACTAATGTCATCCGTTCAGTCTGAATCAGTTGACACCCTAAAGCAAAGAGGGAATTACTTAGATTAGCAGTTTTTCAGTTCAGCTGCATCTAGATGGGGGAAAACAATCAAGAAACCTTTCAGGTTAACGGAGATGACATCTTCCGTCTACTGATCGGTTTGACAGCTACTTCTGCTGCGGTAATAATCACTTAGTTGATCAGGGATCTTTTGGAATACATAACAAAGGGTGGCTCAAGCCCGAATATCTGGAAGCTTGGAAGTAGGTGGTTAGACCTGTTTTTGTTCGAATGAGTATATCAACGAGGCTGTCATGCAGATTGCAGTAGTGAAGCAGGTTTTCCATCGATTAGTCAAGCAAAGCTAACCAAAGTGAAGGTATTCATTCAAGCAGTAATGGCATACCGATAAAAAAAGATCGGGGGCATCAAGATTTGGGATTTGAGAAACACATAATATTATCTTGGATGTAACTATGATTTAAGGTTACACTCTGAAGTTCCCTGTAGTGATGAAGTTACTTTGGTTCATCACTATTCTCTTGAAGAAATATAAGAGGGTGAGAGAGAACAGAGTTGTCTCCTGCATGCCTTTTAACTTGAGAATTACGTTGATGCATCAATTTTTCCAATGCAAATATTAATAGAACAAAACTAGGTATTGGTTCTATAACCAGGATACGAGTTGTATAACTTGTGTTCACAATCCTACTTTCATTTTGGCCTTACGGTTTCAGATATCTTTTCTATTCAATCGGATTCTCGATTATGATAAAAACTGTTCTTAGTTTCTGCCCAGAAATGACTCTTCTTCATCCAAAGATAATAAAAATGCCAGTATCTTTCCAGAAATTTATTTCGAGTTCATTCTTAGTCCCCTTGAACACCATTGTTGCGGGTATTATTTAGTAATTTCAACCAAAAAACGCATTATACATGCCGATTATTTTTTTCTTATGCAACGCTGCTTTGTTTTACGGAGATAAGTTTTGCTGTGGGATCAATTTGAATCATTGATACGTCGGGCAAATTTGGTTAATATTTTTAATCAGCGACAGGATATATTAATAATAATGAAAACTGTAATACAACAAGGGATCCGTGGCGCAATGGTAGCGCGTCTGACTCCAGATCAGAAGGTTGCGTGTTCGATTCACGTCGGGTTCAATCCCCCCGATTCTCAAGGTCCCCCAATTTTTTGCTTTTTTTGGCTATTTTTTTTCCTACATGATTTACAGGGAACATCAAAGTAAATCACAAGATAGACATGAACAACTATATACAATATGTTGTATTAAAAAAGTATAGAGGTGTAAGAATGATTAGCAGAAACCTTTATGGAAAGCAGCTGTATGTAATCTTTATTTGAATTATGCTAATTTAGGAATTTCACGTGACTGGGTAATACTGTCAACCCTCTCTTTATAACAACCTCGTTTGCTCCGAAATATTTTGGCTGCTATAGTAAAGTGTTGTTATATAGGACATATATTATAACATAATATAATATTTGATCCCGAGAAAAACTCGGCTTTTATAGTGAATGCCTATTATATAAAGATGTTATAGAGAGGTCTGACGGATTTAAAAGGGGCAAAGTAAAAAATGTTGCTACAGTCGAAAGATTTACTACTTAAAACACCTTTATTCACTTATTTTTTGACTTTGCAAGTGAGATTAAAAGGGCAACAATATAAAATATTGCTGTAGAGGAAAATTTTACTATTTATAATCACTTTATTGCACTAAAATATTTCTTTAACGAAAAAATACTTTTTTTTTGGCCACCCGGTGTTCGGTACCCGCATTGGAGCCCGACTATATCCGGATTCGCGCCGCGTAGGGCCCCATTCGGGGGGAAGCGCTCCCTACCAAGGATTTTTCCATACCCAGGGCTCGAACCCGAGACCTCTGGTTAAGGGAGAAGCAGTCCCATCCACTGCACCACATCCTTTGGTGGTTTAACGAAAAAATACTTAATTTTACCCAAGTATCATATAAGTCAATTAGACATAGTAGTTTATTGAGAATAATTAATATGCTTTAGTGACACCAAGAACTCTTGTTGTGAAGTGGCATCAATAGAAGGTGGGACTGGAAGTTTATGCAAAATGGGAGGAAATTTTTGTTCAAAGAGGAATGCCCATGTCTATTTTGATGGCTTGCATCCAACTGAGGCTGTGAACGTTGGACGATGCGATGCGTGACGTCTAGGGGCGTAATTTGTGATCAAAGACTTGATAGTTTACGGGATTCTACAATTCACGCCAAATATCACATTTTGCTATATATGTTCTTCATCGACGCGTGAGTCGAGATAGGGTAATAGGGCTTTTCTTCCAATTTCAAAGTTGAAGTCTACCCTACAATTGTTAAACTACTCTCTCAAGTTTAAGACATTGCCCTTTGTCATGTCAAATTTTATTTTCTTAGGTAGAATTACTTGTGTAGATAAGATATTATGCTTGTACAATCTCAGTTGCTTTTATTTTTACTTATGCACAATCGATGTTTATCTCAATTGAGAAAGCCTATTCACGTTTTAATTGATTACGCAAGAAGAATCACGATGCATATTAGACAATAGGTAATTGATTACAGCAAAATTGTTTTTTCTTTTGGTAGATTACTAAAAATCTGCTATTTGAAAGAAATACCTAAAATAAAAAATTAAGATATATTAGCAACAATTATGATGATACGTAGTATTTATTGCAAAAATTAATCAAGAGGATGATTATAGTATTTCATGAAAAATTGGGCGTACTACTTTTGTGCTACACATTTGAGTAAAAATCTACTATGAATGACATTCTTCACTATGAAATATTTTATCATCGAAACATTGTATGACATTTTAATTCTAGAACGTATAAACATAGGAATTGACATAATATTCAGAATAATCCTATTAACAAAAATAACTTGTTTATCTGTTTTATTTTTTGCTCATTCATCTTCCTTAGATTAGAAATAATTAAATTCGTTAAATGATCTTAGTCTCATTTGAAATAAAATATTTGCATTTTTATTGCTTACACACAACAAAATTTAAGGTGCATGTCTTGTGGTAAATCGAGTATTACTTACAAATAGTTGTGTAAAATCGAGAAGAAGATTAAACAAATAATAATAGAAATTAACCGTTCATCCAAAATTTCATAAAATAGGCCTTAATTATTATACTAATGTATTATCATATGTGACTTCTAATTATGTGTTAACATGACTTTTCTTCTTGGTGATTTGTAAATAACATTATATACGTTTATATTAAAAATCAAAAGGACGGTTTTGGAATTTAATAAAAATAGAGTTAGTAGTTCTCTTTTTGAATTGTTGTGGGAGAGGAATGGAATTTAAATACGTGAATGAATAGGGTCATTTTTTGAGAAAATAAAAAATTGAATAGGGCCGTAACAGAAATATGGAAAGTAAAAATAGGAAACAAAAGTTAGAATCCTACTTAATAAAGGATTGGGACAACTTCACCATATAATATAAGAGTACGAAGCAGCAGCAGCAGACGTTCACGAATTACAATTTACATAGTGATATTTCACAAATTACTTTCAGAAATGGCTTCACTGTTGTGGAAGAGAGTGAGAATACTGGGTGAAGGTGGATTTGGGGTTGTTTCTTTAGCTTCGACGTCCGATAATCAACCTCCCACGTTAGAGCGTCTTCCACCTCTCATCGCCATAAAATCTTGCTTACTCCATCGCTCTCAATCTTTGCAAGAAGAAGAGGCATTCCTCAGCATGTTTGCAGACTCGCCTTACGTAATTCACTGTTTCAGACCTAATATTGAACTACAAGATGGCGTCGCCGTTTACAACTTACTTCTCGAATATGCCTCCGGAGGAAGCTTAGCCGATCGTCTTCACAACTACAACTCAGGGAAAGGTCTGTCAGAGTTTGAAGTTAGAAAACACACTAGGAATGTTGTTTTAGGGCTCGTTCACATACACAGCAGAGGAGTTATTCATTGCGACATCAAGCCCGATAACATTCTTCTTGCGGGCTCTGATGAAACTGCCAAGATCGCAGATTTCGGGCTCTCTATGACTTTGGAACAGAGCAGGGCACAAAAGCATGGACTGAGGGGAACTGAAAGGTATTTGGCACCAGAATCCGTGGTTGACGAGGAGTACGGAACAGAAGTTGATATATGGGCTCTTGGTTGCACTGTCTACGAGTTGATGACGGGGACACCGCTGTGGGAATCAGATGAAGATAGTCAAGATTCGAATGTTTTATACAGAATCGGGTTTGAGGAACCAATGTTTCAGAATGCCAAGTTGTCGAATGAAGCACAAGATTTTTTGAAGAGGTGTCTAGTCAAGAATCCCACTTCACGTTGGACGGCGGAGATGCTATTGAACCATCCGTTTCTGAATTCATCAAAAGTAGCAGACAATAATGTCCAGCCTGCAACAAAGACAACAAAGAGGCTAAAGATTATTTTACGCAGACCGCAGCAGAAGATAGCATTCAAGAATCCCAGTTCAGGTTGGATAGCCGACATGCTATTGAACCAACCGTTCCTGAATTCATCCAAAGTAGAAAACAATGTCCAGCCAGCAACAAAGACACCTAAGAAGCTAAAGATCATTTTACGCAGACCGCAGCAGAAGATAGCAGTCAAGATACAACCACATAACCGTGATCTGATCATAGGACATTGATGCAATAATGAATCTGAAGAAATTAGACAAGGGAACTCGCGGAAGGCTGCTGGCGATACTGAAAGTAGATACTCAGATTGATAATTGATTTGTAAAATAGTATGTAAAAGAACTACGTGTGGGCTTGATCCCTCTTTAGGATTTTTTAGTGGGGTACGTAGGCAGCCTGCAACCAAGATGATCAGGTGCAGCCCCTTCTTAGTTAAAAAACAATACAATTGAATACTGTGTATGTAAAAGAACTACGTGGGGGCTTGATCCCCTTTCTAGGATTTCTTGGCGGGGTATGTAGGCGGCCTGTGATCAAGATGATCTCAGGTGCAGCCCCTTTTTAGTTGAATAAAATGAAGTTTTTTTATATTCTCATAGTTGATCAATGCTCCTTACAAAGAGAGGCGACTTGTTGTAAGTTTTTTTTTTTTGGTCATTGATGGGTGACATCAGTATGTAATACATACCTTAGTAAATTTGGCAGAGTTCTATTCTGTTTCATTAATTTATATTAAGTGCTAGTCGATTTTCAAACTACAAACTCTGTTGCAGATTCATAAACGCTACTCAGCAGTTGAGTTTGTTAGTATAATATGACTGATGTGCTGCACTTCTAGTTTCCATGTTAGTGCACAATCATTTGTCAACCAATTTAGAAACAACTGGCTTCCTAGTAGATTCAACTTTTGTAATAAAGTAGAATCTGCAAACATCAGGGGAAACCATAGAATTAGAAAAATAATAAGTTTAAGAACAAACTTATGTAAATATTTTAGACAATAATGAATACCAACATTTCAAGTTTGTGGGCTCTCTTTCTCGGTTATGGGATTACTGTTGTAGGTGACACTGTTGTTACAAGAAAATTAGTGCTGACAAGGTGGTAGTGTCTATTGGGAATATATTGTTCCTGCAACTTCTCAGCAGTCCTATAAATGGCCTGAAACTGGATTCATGTCACAAAATGCATTGATGAGTTCTGTAGGACTCTCCCCCAGTAGTTTTGCGCAGGTACTGACCCTGAAACATCAACTGTAAATTAAATGTCCTCTAAACAATGTACGATAGAGAAGCTCTTGTTTTGAATAGCACAAAAGTCTTGTAGAGTAGCACATTGCTTGTGCCCTTCATCTGCTAACTTCTTTTTCATTTTTTCCTAAACAGAAGAGAAATTAAAATGTGTTAAGTGCGACATAGGTTAGCAGAGAATTTATATCTTCCTTTATTGTGATAAGTCAGATGATTTATCATCAATAATTAAGTGGTCTCCGAGGTTATATTTGTATATTTTGCCTTTACAATTCAGAACTGTTAGTCATTATTGTTCAATCCAGGGTTATGGCATGACTTGAGATAACTGCAACTAGAACAGTAAAGCATGGTTCCAGTACTGAGAAAGTTCAGTAGCCTTATAGCTTCAATTATACTAAGCTAAACTAGTGAATATCATAGGTTCTTTCTTACCTCGCAACTGCATGAGTGAGCTCTGAAATGCCTATTTTAATTCATCACAGAAGATTCTTAGTGTGTAATATAGTGAATAGATTGTTCGTTGGACCTGTCATGTGTTCAATAGATTGAACTGGCTCTTTCATTCAATTGATGGTTAGCTTTTAGTTTCATCTTCAGTTTTCCCTTGATTTATTGTTGCTATTATCCTGCAGTGATGCTTATCTCAAAAGTATTAAAACAGCCTTAGATTTTCCAAATATGCAGTATTGTTTAACGGATAATAACCATTACATATTGCTGGCATGCATCAAACATTGCAAATGATTCCTCCAAACATAAGAAGAATATGATCCTTTAAGTTCACAACAAGGGGATCAATCGTAATTCTGAGTATTGGTAAATTTGCAGCCAACATATATGAAAAGAAGTTTTAGCTGTACCATTTTGATCAAAGTATCAATTTAACAACTACACTAATTTGGTATTGGATTGTCAACCAAAGTTTTCACTTTTAGTTGACTTGGTTAGATATAATTCCGCATCAAGTAAATCCGGGATATCAATGTGGGCCCAAAATAATGACATAAAGAAAAGAGAAACAAAATGTGATCAAACAATTACATACTACACAAATAGCATAACAAATTCTTTGATCTGACATTTTGAACCAAAAATGTAAAACCAGTTGTGAAGCTTATTTTTTGCTAATTTTCAGTGAAAACTTCAAATACAAAAGGGAGACACAAAAAACAACAAACTAAAGCATGACATCCAAACATTCATCGTTTTTGGCAATTACGTACAGATCTTTCTCTTTCGCTGCACTCATTCCAGGTTTCTCACTCATATCCAAATCTTTCGAACTAGTTCCATATGGAAGCTCCCAGTTAAAGTGGTAGAGAAGCCGAGCCAAAGGATATCTAAAATTAGCTAAACCAAACTGCATTCCAGGGCAAATTCTTTTCCCCGAACCAAATGGAATAAACTCAAAGTGATTTCCCAAATAGTCAATAGAAGAATTTTCAAATCTCTCGGGTATAAAACTCTCAGGGTCATGCCAAACTTCTGGATCTCTTCCAATTGCCCATGTATTAACTAGTACTGTGGCCTTAGAAGGTATTGTATATCCATCAATACATGTTTGTTCCCTACATTCCCTATGCACTATACTTGGAGCGTGTAACCTTAATGTTTCTTTAACCACTAACATTAGGTACGGCAAATTATCAAGATCTTCTTCATCAAAACTCGATTTCCCTTTGAAGGCTTGTCTCACTTCACTTTGTGCCTTGGTCATGACGTTTGGGTTCTTCATCAGTCACTACTAAAAATCCGGAAAAAAGCGATCAAAATTTGGCAACCAAAATTGGTCTGTCAGGAAAAGCGACCAACGTTGGTCGCTAAATTGGAGAAAATAATTAAATAATTATTTTAAATATATTAGCGACCAAGGTTGGTCGCTAATTTGGTCAAAATGTTGACCGGACTGGTCAGACTTGCTTGGTCAAAGAAATGCTGAAATTAGCGACCAAAGTTGGTCGCTAAAGTGGGACCCACTTATAAAATTTTAATAATTATATTATTATTTAAAAAAATTATAAAATATAAATAAATATAATTCAAAATTAGCGACCAAAGTTGGTCGCTCACGAAAGGGGAAGCAGAAAGAGACCAACTTTGGTCGCTAATCTGGGACCCAGTTATAAAAATTAAATAATTATATTATTATTAAAAAAATTATAAAATATAAATAAATATAATTCAAAATTAGCGACCAAAGTTGGTCGCTTACTAAAGGGGAAGCAGATAGAGACCAACTTTGGTCGCTAATCTGGGACCCAGTTCTAACATTTAACAATTATATTATTAATTTAAAACATTATATAAAATATAAATAAATNCTATGTAGTTCAAACACTTGTAAAGTATAAGTCAATGGTATGTGCAATCAGTTTTCGATATCTTATATGTCTAGCATGACATGAAAATTTGATATGCATCTAAAGTCTATTATATGGCTTATATAACTTAACAATCCCTGAAGGATTTGAATTGCTTAAAGCATATAGAATTCATGGTCATGAAGTACTACATCCTCAATACAATTTGTGCACAAATGTATCTTGCTATAAGTATATGCATGATAATATGATAGCAAGAGTTTTCACCTCTATGTGAAGATATTGAACTGACGATTCCAACAAGATCATATGAAGATAATTCATCTCTATCAAGAATGATGATTTCAAGGTGCAATATATTCATTCAAGTTAATATGGTTGATTTGTTTATCAAATATTTACCAAAGATCTTTTGAAGATAGTGCACAAGATTGGAATGCAAATGCTTAAGGATGTGAAGTGATGCTCTCATGAGGGGGAGTTAATACGCGTTGTACTCTTTTTCCCTTACAAGGTTTTGTCCCACTGGGTTTTCCTTGCAAGGTTTTTAACGAGACAACCAAAAGGCGTATTGTTAGATAAGTGTACTCTTTTTCTTTTACTAGAATTTTTTTCCCACTGGATTTTATTTTAGTTAAGGTTTTAACGAGGCACGTTATCTGTTGAATAGACATTCAAGGGAGAGTGTTATAAATAGAGTTCTATTTATGGTGAATGTCTATATTTAGAGAGATTCTAGGGTTTTTACTTGGTGGCTAATTCACCATCTCCCTATAAATAGAGGGTTCTATTCCATTGTAATTCATCCCAAAATTCAATAAGAATTCTCTCTCTCTACTTTTCTCTGCAATACTCTTCTTCAATAAGTACTATTTGTATTTTTAATTTGTTTATACATGAGAGATTTTAAGGTGTATATTCTGAGGTATAAGTAATTTGAATATTAGACGATAAATAATTTGATTATGAATTTGTTGCTTTAAAGCAACATTTGAATTTGAATTAAAAAGTAAAGTTTTACTAGAAACTAAGTAATTCATCTCAAAATTGATAAAGTAAATTGATTAGCGGGAATTGGAAATTGCTCGTTTGCTAAAACCTTATTTCCTTAACCGTTGATTCAGTATGTTCCTACTTCCTATCCCCAACGAATTCTCATAAATCTTCATGCTTTATACTATTTTTATGTGTTAAATAATTTTTTTTCTTGAGGATTTGACACTAACCTGCAAAAATCAAGAGGACGATTTATAGTATTGATTAATAAAAATTGGCGTAGTTCTTTTGTACTCCACATTTGAGTAAAATTCTACTATGAAAGACATTATTTACTATGAAAAGAATTATCATCGAAATCGGTAAGAAGCCTAGTTCTAGAATGTACAAAAATTGGAATTGACATAATATTCAGAATAATCCTATTAACAAAAGAAATTTGTTATATTTGTTTATTTTTTGCTCATTTGTCTTCCTAAAATTAGAAATTAAATTCGTTAAATGACCTTAGTCTCATTTGAAAGGGATAATGCATAAAATCATCCCCGACCTATGGCCATAAAATCTTCAATTTCAACACCACCCGTAGAAGCTCTTCAACAATGACAGATACTTTACGTTTGGGAAGCGTGATAAAAGAATGGGTTTAAATAAAAAAGCTTAGTTTTACCTTTGGGAGCCTTTCTTATGGCTTATTTTGCATGGCACATGGTGATTATATAGAAGACGAGCCTTTTAAATTTAGTCCTTAAGCGCTTGGAAGAGGTGTAGTCACGCTCAGATTTTATTAAGCGTATAAGGTTAAAGAAATTCTAGGAAAAAAAAGTTTAGGAGGTAATAGGACCCCTGAAAAGAAAAAATATGTAGTAATGCATTATCCCCATTTGAAATAAGAAACTTGCATTTTTATTGTTAACACAAGAAAAGGTTGAGGTGACGTAAAAAATAAATAGGGCCGTAAGTAAAAATAGGAAAGTTAGAATCCTAGTTAATAAAGGATTGGATGTCATAATACTCATCAACTTCGCCTTATAACATAACATAAGGGTACGAAGCAGCAGCCTAATTAATGATGGATTAGGGGAAAAAAATTTAAATACGTGAATAAATAGTACAGTTTTATTTTTTAGGGGAAAAAAATATTCGTAAAAATAGGAAAGTCAGAAACCTAATTAATAATGGATTGGGATTTCCTAATACTCGTCAACTTCACCTTATAACATGAGAGTACATATAAGCAGCAGACGTTCACAAACTACATAGTGATATTTCACAAATTACTTTCAGAAATGGTTTCACTGTTGTGGAAGAGAGTGAGGATACTGGGTGAAGGTGGATTTGGGGTTGTTTCTTTAGCTTCGACGTCCGATAATCAACCTCCCACGTTAGAGCGTCTTCCACCTCTCATCGCCATAAAATCTTGCTTACTCCATCGCTCTCAATCTTTGCAAGAAGAAGAGGCATTCCTCAGCATGTTTGCAGACTCGCCTTACGTAATTCACTGTTTCAGACCTAATATTGAACTACAAGATGGCGTCGCCGTTTACAACTTACTTCTCGAATATGCCTCCGGAGGAAGCTTAGCCGATCGTCTTCACAACTACAACTCAGGGAAAGGTCTGTCAGAGTTTGAAGTTAGAAAACACACTAGGAATGTTGTTTTAGGGCTCGTTCACATACACAGCAGAGGAGTTATTCATTGCGACATCAAGCCCGATAACATTCTTCTTGCGGGCTCTGATGAAACTGCCAAGATCGCAGATTTCGGGCTCTCTATGACTTTGGAACAGAGCAGGGCACAAAAGCATGGACTGAGGGGAACTGAAAGGTATTTGGCACCAGAATCCGTGGTTGACGAGGAGTACGGACCAGAAGTTGATATATGGGCTCTTGGTTGCATTGTCTACGAGTTGATGACGGGGACACCGTTGTGGGAATCAGATGAAGATAGTCAAGATTCGAATGTTTTATACAGAATTGGGTTTGAGGAACCAATGTTTCATAATGCAAAGTTGTCGAAGGAAGCACAAGATTTTTTGAAGAGGTGTCTAGTCAAGAATCCCAGATCACGTTGGGACAGCGGAGATGCTATTGAACCATCCGTTTCTGAATCCATCCGAAGTAGACAATAATGTCCAGCGTGCAACAAAGACACCAAAGAGGCTAAAGATTATTCAACGCAGACCGCAGCAGAAGATAGCATTCAAGAATCCCAGTTCAGGTTGGACAGCCGACATGCTATTGAACCAACCGTTCCTGAATTCATCCATAATAGAAGACAATGTCCAGCCAGCAACAAAGACACCTAAGAAGCTAAAGATCATTTTACGCAGACCGCAGCAGAAGATAGCAGTCAAGATACAACCACATAACCGTGATCTGATCATAGGACATTGATGCAATAATAAGAGAAGAGAATCTGAAGAAATTAGACAAGGGAACTCGCGGAAGGCTGCTGGCGATACTGAAAGTAGATACTCAGATTGATAATTGATTTGTAATATAGTATGTAAAAGAACTACGTGTGGGCTTGATCCCTCTTTAGGATTTTTTAGTGGGGTACGTAGGCAGCTTGTGATCAAGATGATCTCAGGTGCAGCCCCTTTTTAGTTAAAAAAATATAATTGACTGATGTACATATGCTTATAGCTAGTCAATCAGTACTCCTTACAAAGAAAAGGTTTTCTTTTGTATATATGATTTTTGCCATTGATGAGTGGCACCAGTTTTGCAATACATGCCTCAGTAAAATAGTTGCATAGTTCTGTTTTATTTCATTCATTAATACTGCTAGTCAAAGTGCAAACTCTGTTGCAGATTCATATATGTTGTTATCTTCTGATGTTGGCTTGTACAAATCATAAAGTTGAATGAAATGTTTCGAAGCTTGTTCTTTATTCCTTCCTTGGATTTTGTCATATTGCCTCTTTTTGGCATCCGAGCTCCTCTATTTGATGCAGCAGCCAGCCTCGCATAAACAACACTAAGTTTTTGAGTTTGTTATTAATGTTGATCTGCGATTGGTTTCTTTAATATTGCTGATCTTCTGCGTTTTTAGTTTCCATATCTGTGCTCGCTCTTTTGTTAACCAATTTAGAAACAATGCTTTTACCTGTCAAGTACTACATTGAAACGTTGTGATTTAAGTGAAATGGAAGGGAGTGCTTGTATTCTGGGCATGACAAATATAATTTTGATATATAGATGAGTATATGATAACATAGACATGCATGTGTCAGTGTCGTTTGATTTTCATATGGAAAAAATTGAAGTACAGCCCACTGTTCCATTGATGGGAGATTGAGAGATTTGTGTTGTTAGAAACTAACTCATAGTAAGGATCTTGGAATTACTGTTATTCAAATATGCGTTTCCTTACAAATGTACACAACATTTCATC